ATTAGGGCTTTTCACGATAGCTTTGATAACAAATGATAAATGAAAGCAAATACAGAAGCAGAGAAACTGCGGAATGGCGCTGAAATGTAGTCCTGAAAAGTTGTTTAATTTGTGCAAATATATGTCACTTACCTACAAATCTTGAAATTTGTAAAATTTATGACGATTTAACTCTTTATAGCTCTTTGGAAATCATTTAAGTAAAAAAAATTAAAATTGTAGTTTGTTGCTTAAGTCTTGTGTTTCCATCTACTTACATAGTATAAAACTTGAATCTGTGGGATGCAATGGAAATTGATTTTATGAAAAGCTTATTCAGGCAGAGGTTTGCCATTGCCTGCCAGATTGAACACAGCTCCTGACGAGTGGTAGCACACATCTCTAAGCATGCAGCCACAATAGAAGTCATGCACTCCAAAATCTTAGCTCATTCGTAGTCAAAAAAACTTGCACAGATTGGTAAGTTAATAAACCGAAATGACCTCATTTCATCGACAGACGGGTCTACGTAAATGGAACGCCTCAGGTTTATGTCTGCCCCAGTCACCTCAGCTCCATTCTCCGAAAATTCAGTGGGAAATTTGTATGCTGTTTCAACAATCAGAACCCTCGAAATGGGATTTGGTTGGTGAAGATTTAGTTTAGTTTAGTTTGGTATAGGACTTTTAAACAAAACAGCCTACAAACTCATTTTATGTTCGTTCTTGGCATCCAAACATTTAAATTGTCGTCTTGTTGTTGTTGTTGCTGATCGCACAACTAGTTGGATGGTGACACATGACTTATAAAATTAATATACTATCGATATGGCAACGCCGAGTGATTAGTAAAACAGCTGATATGGAGCAAATTGTTGCACGCTTTTTTAAGAAACAAATATTTACGTCTTTTATGCATTATATTTCTTTTTTATAAATATACGTAAATTCGGGACACTAAGTGCGGCACAATGTCTATAGAATACGCAAATCTTTGCTCTGTGATCGTGAAGCAAGTTTTCGGTGAGACGGTCCAGGCCGTGGCTGATTGTTTATTCTGTGCGGTTTCACGCACGTTGCCGGCAATTGCGAAAACAACAAAGCTGTCTCGCAAAGAGGTATGTAATGCAAATGATCAGGGAACAGCTCGATAGAGTAAAATTTTTTTCGTTTAGGTATCCATGGCTTTGGCGGTGCTCATTAAATATCAATTGGTAGTATTTTTGCCCTGCGAATCAAACACATTTTTGGCTGAGTATGCGCTAAAACGCGAAGAAATTTTTTACATATTGCGCTATCCAGGGTTAGTGCTAATAATTATATATTGTTACAAACTCTATTCAATTGTTTGTCCTTTATAGTTACGTACAATTAATACATACTAAATATGGCACAGTTGGCGCTGCTATAGCTGAGGAACTATTACATACCGGCCCCCAAACAGCTACCAATGTATTACTCAAATGCATTGCAAACTCTGAAACGAAGGAAAAAATAGAGTCCTATCGCGACAACTTTTTGGCTATGTTAAGCGATAATTACCTTATTCGTTTGCCACAACTGGTACCGGGTGAGGAAGATCCGGTGCCTAAATTGCAAATCGAAGCCTACCAATATTTTGCACCCCCAGAAATAAATTTACAGTTTATAGCGCAGGTACAGGCAGGCAAAGAAAAAGTAGAGCAAGCTGCAGATGCAGGTATTTATTGGCACATCAATTTCAGTCGTTTTCACCAGGATTTTCGGGATTCGTTAATGATTGGCGCTATTGACCGCAAACTAGGTGCCAGCGCTAGTGAATGCTTCAAATATATGCTGAAGCAAATGTATGAGCGAACAGATCCGTGGCAGAAGGTATGCAGTTAATAAAATATTTTAATCAACAAGTTCTAATCATCTTCTTCCAAAACTTAGGAATGCTCAAATCCATTCACTTTGGCCGAAATAAAACAAATGATTGAGAAGAAGTCAAACAATTTGGATTTAATAAAGCATTTAGATCAATACGTTTCGCTACTAGGTATAAATCGAACTGTTGTTAAGTCTTTTTTCATAAGGATTATGTTTTTATATTACCTTACTTAGCTGATGATCCATTAGGATTTATACGGAAAATTGGTGAAATGGGCGGTGGACAGTATGTGGTGGATCTAAGTAAGGCCTTTGAAGAGTTGACGCTTACCTGGTTTGGCCGTGTGATTACAGAACGATATGGATCAAAGGCTTCACGTATTTTCCGCATAATACACATGAAAAAATTCATAGAGCAGGAAGACTTGCAAAAAGAAGCAATGATACCAGCACGAGAGGCAAAACTGTTATCGTATTACCTATTTCAGGATCAATTTATACAAATGAAAACAATCAGGAAAGCAGGCGGTGGTGGGATGGGACCAGCCAAAGCATATTTTTTATTCCACTTCAAGCCCAAACAGGTATGAAACGATCAGTTGCGGGTTCTGAGTTCTTTCAAAGACACGAATTTTATTTAAATCTAGTAACGCCCAGTTGTCGAAATTCGACATCTTTTTCATGCACTTTTGAATTCTGATTGTCACCACTCCTTTATGGGAATGACGGTTTTGTAGTCCAAAAGAGAAATTTTTAGTGAATATACAGGAAAACTTAAAATCGAATTATGAAGGCTTAATTAGGATCAATTTTAAGTACCGTCCTAATTTTTTCAGTAGCTTTCAAAATTAGACATTTTCTTTTATAAAAAAAAATTCCTATGTATTTGTATGTATAGATGAGATGCCTAACGGTTCCTCTTTGACTAATATGTTAAACCTATACCAATTTACACCCCTTTTCTGCAACTCTTTCGTATTCGGATTCTGCTACGAATCGTATTCGTTAGCATAAGCGGTTCCAGAGATAAGCGATTTGAGAAGTTCAGTTAGTTTCTCCCATCGGTGTAGGATTTACTGAAATCGAGCCCTCGAAAAAGAGGGGTTCAAAATTTTATTGTGGCGTATTTATGTTTAGATATTTCTAACTACATTTTATTTGTGGGGATAGAAGAACTAAATACAAGGATACATCGGCTTTCTTTATTTCTTTCACAGAGCGTCCGTATGATATTAAACGTTTGCTACAAAGCTTTATACAATACGATCGAACGCTCTAATTTTGAAAAGTCTGAACATAAAAGATTAATTGAAAAGTCGCAAAAGTTGGACAGCATTGTTGCGACAATGAAAGAGCGTGGTGAATCTGCGGAATATATAGAAGAGGTACGTGCTCATAAATACCTAAGTTCCCTATATAGTGAACAAAACACGTACAGACATAAATACATATGTATTTATCATTTACTGTTTTATTTTTCTTGCATAGATACTAGAAACTTTGACGCCACCGGAAAGAGAAATTCTGGAAAAAGTGAAATCTCGAATCAAGACACTTTCAAAAGCGGAACTCACTATAGATAGTAGTATATTTTTGTTACAAATGTATTTATATCACTCAAAAGGATCGACGGTGTTTCCGAGTAAAGACAAAAAATAAATACAATTTTATTGTTGTTTATTTTTATACATAAAAACTTGTCTTCCGTTAACTGTTCAACAAAATTCGCATTTATAAAATCTTAAAATTTAGAATGATAATTTAAGTGAGGCAATAACTAAAGAAATTGGACTATGTACAAATGAAAAAAAGTAACTACATATTTGTATACACATGCATAGATACATATGGTCAAATCTTCAGGAATTTAAAAATTTTATAACATGACCATTGTCTTTTTCGGGCTTATACTGTAAAACCAAATGATCTGTTAAAAGTTTTTGCGTAGAACGTTATAACCAAAACAAATCAGCGTTTCTGTGCAAAAGTTTGTTTGATATATCATTCGGCCTTAAAGTTATAAGCCCGAAAAATGCACTTGCCACCTTACAATACTTTAATTTCCTGTGTATAAAAATTATACAGCTATAAATATTGTAAATGCTCTGGATATATGAAATGCTACGAAATGGTGCTTAAAGCTAAACTACGAATATTACAGCTAATGTAAAACTAATAGTATTTAAATTAATAAGTATGAATATATTAAAATGCAGTGAGCGGCAAATGATCGCTGATTGTTGGGCAAATAATTGAAATTGGAGCTGGGAACAGCATGTTTACATAATTTTCTGGTAATTTCAAAATCTAACTATAACAGTAACATTAATTAAAATTGCGTAAAACTCCAATTTCAGTGCCTTCATATTTCATTTCAATGTAATTCGGATTCTTTCTTGGCTTATGTTCTTTTGTGACATATTACATATTGATTTATGGCATTGCTAATGAAATTTAGACGAGTGAAATGCATTTTTTAGCGGAGATTTTGCAGATTTATGCCAGACTACATTGCGGCGCCATTAAAGTGCTTGTACATATAGTCCCAGAACTCTTGTCGTTCAGCTTCTGGATTGCTACGCATGTTCATATTAACAGAGACATCCAAATAACTGATATCTTCCATCACAGTCTGCGGATTTATCGGTTCCCAGCTCGTGGTTAACATTGTGTCCTCTTCATTTTGCGGTGTGGGAGTGCTGATTTGGTAAGAAAAAATTGATTTGAAACAAAATACATAAATTCAATAACCATGTAATTTTGTAATAAAACACTCACCCATATTTGGCGAAATTCGTCCACATGCGCACCATACGATTCTTCACAAGCACCTCTGTTGATCGGGGATCCAAGCTTAAGTTGAAGAAACCGAATTTGAATAAATAACCCATTTCATCACCATGACATACGCCTGGCCTTGTAATGCCCAACATGCGTTTATAGAGTCCCAGTGCACCATCGTACGAAAAACGGTACATATACACAGGCGCATTGCCATATTTGGCGTGATTACGCGCAGTTTTGCGTATGCCCTGCAGGAACATCAGATCCGTTAAGAGCTGCAAATACAATTAAAGACTTAATCTTTTTAAAAACTTGGCTTTTTCTAACTATGTGTTTATGAGACTCACTGCAATCATTTCGTCCACTGACTCGACACCCACTTGTTTGTTACCCAAATAAAATTGACGGATGTCACGCGTTACCCGTTCACGCTCATCTGTGACGTTCAAATCACGTGGAACCATACGCGAAAAATCATTCTCGATTATTTCCAGTAGATTTGGATTCTTTCGCAGTCCTATGAAGACCGACATGATATATGAACATAAATGTATTAATCAAACTTAGCAATGCATTACTCACTCCGTATGAAGAGCATCGCCTCATGCGTATTATAGCCCGTCATATATGGCACCTTGCTGTGAAACTGACGTTTGTCGTATATTTCGTTAGGGTGTTTTGTGATGAAAGGTTCTTCAGAGAACACCTCACTTTCGCCCTGTGCGTTCCAATAACCCTCCACAATTGGCACAAATGGTAAACCAATATTGTTACGTGAATCTTCAGCTGTAAGCGTTGTGGGTGCAGCTTCAACCAATTTCATTGCAGGCACACGACGCAAAAATTCCAATATCTCTGCGGTATCATTGGCGCCCACGTATCCCAAATTGGCGGCCAATCGGAAGGCGCGTTCAGACGAACTTTCAGCCATCGCCCAAGGGTTTAACGCCGAACCACTTTGTGAGATAGCACGTTGAAAGAGGCCTTCAGCTAGCGGTGATAGAAGTAGCATTTGTACGCTTGAGCCTCCAGCCGACTCTCCGAAAACTGTCACCTGCCTTGGATCACCACCGAAAGCCGCAATGTGATCACGCACCCATTTTAAGGCGAGCACTTGATCCTTAAAAAAATTCGTATTGATAAAGTAAAATTTATTCAATGCAAGCGTTTAATCACCTTCAATCCTTGATTGCCTGGCGCGTCTGGACCGGCAGTCAAAAATCCCAAGGGACCGAGACGATAGTTCAGTGTAACCAAAACAATATCCTCTGCAACTAAGTAGTCAGGACCATAAAGGAAAGTATTGCCGGAGCCGAATGAATAGCCGCCGCCATGTAGCCAAACCATAACCGGCAAAAGTTGTTCACTATAGCCGCAAAAAGTAGAACACAAAAGTAATAAGAAATATTTACATATGTAATATGTCGTCGGCAGATTGGAAGATCGCCCTATCTCGGTGGCTGGTTCGAAAACGCCCTATTTCAGCAAACGGTTGCGGAAGGCTTTATTTCAGAATTTGCTTCAAAACTGCGCTACCTCTGTAGCCACTTCAAAAACGCGCCATCTCAATATAAATTCAATATTCCTGCAGCTGAGATAGGGCCTTCTTCAACCAAATTCTAAAATTCCGATATTCCACTCAGCCGTCGATGTGTATGTAGTTTCTAAAAGTATGTAAATTTTGTAAGAATGTAAATGAAAAATTTTAAAATTGAATACAATGTCCATTAAATCATAGATTTTGTGGGAAATTCAAGCAGTGCGCACTCACTCATCCGCCTTGGGTAGTTGTGTGGTGAAGACATTCAAAAAGAGGCAGTCCTCGCTGCCCTTAAAAGTGTCCAGAATCATATTCTTGTGCGGACAGCTGTTTCCCTCGCGTGATGCATCGCGTACGCCGAACCAAGCCTTCTCCGGCTCAGCAGCACGAAATCTGAAGCAGGGATTTTAAAAAGTTATTTGCTTTTGAACTTAAATACTATAAATATTTATTATACCTTCTAGTTCCTATTGGTGCTTCACCATAGCGTATGCCCTTAAAACTGTAGTAGCCACCTCGTTCGCCAGATCTGTATTTCTGGAAACGTCCACGAACTTTACCCAAAGAGGTTTGGACTATGACATTTGTGTCTTTCTGCGAAATATAAAAATCGGAAAATGAGAATCAGATATTATGTGGTTATACTTACAGTATCGGTCATATCTATAGCACGCCATTTCAAAGTGATATTGTGTGCCACTTATGTTTATTTATTTATTTTTAAGAATTTTCAATTAAAATTTAGTTCATTCTCAGACAAACCCCATATATACCCAAGTTTAACAATTTGTAGAAAACTTCAAAAAAGTGCAACAAAATTTCACCTAAATTTCAAACTTTTTTCTCGGAAGTGTTAGAATTTTTTTGAGTACACAGTTTTTTAGCCCCTGCAATTTTGCCCTGATAATGTGCAAATTTCAAGTGGCTACGAATTACCGTTAATTTTTTAGAATTTTTTTTGTCGCATTGGCTTCCATATAATGAATAAACTCAATTTATTTGTATATGGAAGAAAACCGCAACACCTTTGGTGAAAAAAATTCTAAAAAATCAACGGTTACCTTTAGCCACTTGCAACCTGCACATTATTGATTGGGCTATAAAACTGTGTATTCAGAAAAATTCTAACACTTCCGAGAAAAAAGTTTGAAATTTATATGAAAATTTTTGCACTTTTTTGTAGTATTCTACAAATTGTTAAACTTGGGTTTATATGGGTTTTGTTAGAGAAAGAACTATATTTTAATTGAAAATTCTTAAAAATAAATAAATAAACATAAGTGGCACACAATATCACTTTGAAATGGCGTGCTATAGATATGACCGATACTGTATGTATGCGCGGACAGATAATGATAGTCATCTGGAGGTATTTATTTAGAAGATGTTTACTTTTAGATCATCATTAGTATAGTATTTTACATAATTTCTTTGTAAGCTTCTGATCGAGGTTTTGCTATAAGTGATAGAATGAATTCGAAAAAATCTTTATAGCTTAGAGATTTTTTGTAAAATTAAGGCCTGGAGTATGTAGCTCTTTTTAAGGAGGGGAAAATCTAGTTTGTTTTAGCCTAAACCTAATTTAACTTGAATTTCCTAAAAGCATTTTCAGGTTTTTGTTCATAACTTAAGATTTTGGGGGTGGGGTGTATTAAAAATTTTGCTAATGCCAGAATTATTTTTAGACCTGCTCTACCACCTCTACTAATTGACGTTAAAAGCACATGTAGCACTGTGTTATAACATTTTCGGTCCCGATATTCTTTGGTTAGTTATTTATGTATTTATTTTATATGCAGAATAATTTTTTTTATTTAAAATTAGTTAACACTCCTCAAAATACCTATTAATGCTTCAAGTCGTGTTCTCGTTGGCCTTGTATATACGAGTATGTATATGTATATACATACTTGGATTTGATTTTCTCCAAAATTTAAATACATATATATGTGCATACAAATGTATGTATCTACATGCAACTAGATTTACAAAAATTCTGTTGCGCTACCTTGACACGATTGCATTTGTACATACATACATATGTATTCATGCATACATATTTACATATGCAAAGTATGAGCATTTTTAAGAGCATGCCTTTAGAAACGGCCCAATAGTGGCTGCTTAGATAGAATGCAAGTTGAAATAATTATTTTCTTTCTTCTCCTTCAGAATGTGTACGGCACCGAAACTAAAATGCAATTTTGAATAGAAATAATAAGAGTATCGAGTTCATGGTAGCTGCTTGGGCGCTCTAAAATTCATAAATACACACACATATGTATGTGCG